GTAAATCACATTATTATGAGCTATCTTGGGCTATTTATAAGAGAGTTTGTCAACATCCGTAACCGTACGAACTTGTTGTGCACACAGCGAATAACGCAATTGAGAACTGTTTTCAAATTTTGAAAATCACATACCTAAGTTGTACATATATATGGTACCTTGCATTGTCTGGAAGCAAATTGATTTCCCGCACCATTATAATTGAAGAAATGTGTATTGGAATAGTCCGCTAGCCATTGTAACCAGAGTTATAACGGTCCTGAAACATTTAAAATATACTCGAGCAATAAGAGATAATCCTTACTTAGTAAGAGCAGTTTCGAACTGATAGAGCTATCCAGTATAAAGTTAGTTTAGTTTAGGTTTCCTCCTGTAGTAACACTGGATCAATAAGAGATGATCCTTACTGGACCTCTAGGAAGAACAGTTTCGAACTGATAGAGCTATCCAGTATAAATAAAGTTCGTTTAGTTTAGGTTTCCTCCTGTAGTAACACTGGATCAATAAGAGATGATCCTTACTAGACCTCTAGGGAGAACAGTTTAGAACTGATAGAGCTATCCAGTATAAATAAAGTTAGTTTAGTTTAGGTTTCCTCCTGTAGTAACACTGATCAATAAGAGATGATCCTTACTAGACCTCTAGGGAGAACAGTTTAGAACTGATAGAGCTATCCAATATAAATGAAGTTAGTTTAGTTTAGGTTTCCTCCTGCATTAACACTGGACCAATAAGAGATGATCCTTACTGGACCTCTAAGGAGAACAGTGCAGAACTGATTGATATATATATATATATATATATATATATATATATATATATATATATATATATATATATATATATATATATATATATATATATATATATATATAGTTTTCCGTTTTACCTCAACGGATGAAACAGACTGTTGTGGTTTTTTGAGGTAAAACGGAAAACTATATTACGCTCTATCTATATGGTATTGAGCACTGTTTGTGTTTCGTAAACCAAAATCTTAAGCTATATATATATATATATATATATATATATATATATATATATATATATATATATATATATATATATATATATATATATATATATATATATATATATATATATATATATATATATATATATATATAGCTATATCCAGTATAAATAAAGTTAATTTAGTTTAAGTTTCCTCCTGTAGTGACATTGAATCTATAAGAAACTTAATGTTTAGAATCTGAATCTTACTGTTTAGAACTGATAGAGCTATTCAGTACAAAGTTAGTTTGCCATACCTGTATTGTCGATAAAACGCCTGACGCTACATTGCTAATCTGTAATACAACAAGAAAAGATAGTTTAACCAAAAGATGTCACACATTTCCCCAACTAAGCAATAAAAAATACCTTTTCAGTCATTCGACCGATTCCTTCTCGCAATTGATACATTTCTGGTGATTGCAATGACGCTCCTCGTTGCCCTAGAAATACGAAGACATGTCACTCATTAGTGTCACGGTCAAACGAGGAGGGGAGTTGATGAGGTGATTGCAACTCTCGCTCGCGTTTGACTCCCATCTATGAGCTGGTTCAAATTTTGATGAGAGTTGATGAAAGTTTTTGCTACGCACGTGATAATTTTCAGTCAACTCTCATGCAACTCTTGTTCTGGTTTGACCGGGACATGAGAGTTGAGAAAACTCTCATGCAAACAGTCGCTTCTCAACTCTCATGCAACTCTTGTTCTCGTTTGACCGAGGCATGAGAGTTGAGAAAACTCTGATGTAAACAGTCGCTTCTCAACTCTCATCAACTCTCATGATCTCATCCAACTCTTGTTCTCGTTTGACCGGGGCATGAGAGTCGAGAAAACTCTCATGTAAACACTCGCTTCTCAACTCTCATCAACTCTGATCCATAGTGTTTCAGATCATAATAAGATATAAAATCCTGTTGCGAATTTCACTAAACCCTACTGTGCCAGATCTTCAAATATGGGTCGGTCGCGGATATTGTCCAACCCAGAGGACACCACCGGACATTCTGTCAATTTATCGTATACCCGACTCAAGTGAATTGGTGTCGGACCTAAATGTAACTTTATCCAACGTAAATCAGAATGTACCCTAGTCCAGGACTAGAAGCTCGTATGTTAAACAGAAAATCAGGGCAATATATAAAAAGTGAACTGGAAATTTGTAATCAAGTGCGGGGTTTTCATCGTGGGGATCGGAAATTCATTGCCAAGATTCATATGCATTTTACAAAACTGTGCTGATATTAATTTGTGTCTGCATTCATACTTATTTCCAAACTGAACTCAAAGACATCCATGGTACATCACAATACATATGTGCAACCCAAACTCAAAGTCTATATATTGTCTCTTTTTTCTTGTCTTTACTAACGTTCTATGTACGTATTTTCTTTCTTATCTTTTTTCATATACTTGTATATAAACTTGTGTGAGTCCCCTTGATAAGCCTTTTGTGTTTTTGGGATAAACACTTTAATTATTTAATAAACTATGTTTATATAAAAAAAAAAAAACTCAAAATCATCGAACATTTTGTCAGGCGGTCAATCTGTACCATAGATATCTTATATACACTAGATAGTGCATCTAATTATTCTGCAATTCAAAAATTGAAGCCGTGATTGCAGACTCAGGATATTCCCATAAAATGAGAAGATTCGTATGTTTTCTACTTCTTAAACAGGGAACTTAAACATTAAGTTAATCCTATTATAAATACATTTTTAAACTATTCAAATGATGAAAGTTATATATTGATGTTTTTTGAGCGTTTATTAGCGAGTGGGGAACTACCAACATGGCCGTCATCTATTCAAATGGAGGTAACCGCTGGAATATTCTTGGCTTCAATTTTACCAAAAGAGATGCGCTATCTAGTGTATATAAGATATCTATGATCTGTACTTGCTGTACAATGCAGAGTGTGAAACCTTTGTTACCTGAGCGCTGCTCCTCGCCAAATAGATCTGCACTCGATATAGCAGAAGCCCCAGACATTCTGTCCAGCTTC